GCCTCTTGAAGCCTCTCAGGAATCGGTCATGCCATGAAACAAACCAACCTGACCTTGAATTAGCTGGCAGAATGTGGAATAGCAACAAGGTGCACCCAGATGGAAAAGCCCTGGGGTTTATAAATCCCTGGCTTTCCTGATAGCCCCGCCCCCTGGCTAAGGCTCAACCAATGAACAGGGGTTTCTAGATTTCAAATCCTCGTTAAGAAGCTCACAGCTTCCAACTGCTGGCCACAGCACATGGTCCTTCAAATGAACAGTTCAGCCCCTGAATCTCCAGACAAACAAACAAACAGAGAGAGACAAGCTCAGCAGAGTTTCTTTCAGGCAACTAGCAAGTAACCCCCAAACACATTTCAAAGCTGGCACGCCCGCATGCCACCCGGAGTCAGCGGGACTTCCCACTGGCCCTGGGCTGCATGTGGATTTCTTCATTCCTCCTTTGAAATGTACAAGAGTCCCTGCTGCGGCTCTTGTACATTTCAAAGGAGGAATGAGGAAGTGCCTATCAACTAGTCAAGTAGTTGCTGGAAATTCTGTCAACTACTCAACTAGTAAATTAATCGTTAGTTAACATTCTTATTGTAGAATGAATTTGACACAGCGCCTGTCAGTCTATGCTCTTATTTCTTGGGAAATATATGGGTAGGAGCAACATTAGCAGTTATGATTCTGCACTTCAGGATGAAATTTTAACTGTGGGAAGGGGAAGTAAGAATGACCAGGGGAAGGAGGAAAAAACAAATACAGGCAGTCCCCGAGTTACGCGGATCCGACTTATGTCGGATCCACAGTTACGAACGGGGCTTTTCTCGCCCCGGAGGACTGGAGCAGTGGGACGCCCAGATGCGCTGCAGTCCCACCACCCCCGTCCTCCGGGGCGAGAAAAGCTGCTCCCCGTCTCTCTGGTCTGCAGGGAGACCGGGAGTAAAGCCGCGGAGCACGCCCACAGCGGGACAGCCTGGGCGCGCCTGGGCTGTCCCACTGCGGGCGTGCCCCAAGGCTTTGCTCCCCGTCTCCCTGCAGACCAGGGAAATGGGGGGCGGTGGACCGCGGCGCATCTGGGCGTCCCTCCGCTCCCGTCCTCCGGGGCGAGAAAAGCCCCATTCGTAACTGCGGATCCGACATAAGTCGGATCCGCGTAACTCGGGAACCGCCTGTACCAGACCTTAGTTCCTAAGATGCTGTAGTCGAAGATGGCCTGCACTGATAAATGGAAAGGAGAAATGTCACCCTTTGATGCTCAACAGGAAAACGTCTCCCACTTGGCCAGGTACATCTGTCTCATTAATGGCTTTCTAAATGGAAAGGAGAAATGTCACCCTTTGATTCTCAACAGGAAAACGTCTCCCACTTGACCAGGTACATCTGTCTCATTGATGGCTTTCTACTTCCCAGAAGAACCTGCAGGAAGAGCATACCTGCTTGGAAGAAGTCCAAGTTTAACTATGGAGCAGCCGCATTGTGTAGTGTAGAGACTTCAGGTTGGGATGCAGGAACCAGCGATGGTCTGTGACAGCAGGTCCAAACAGATGGTGAGGGATCATGAGTGTGCAGAACCACTGCTGGCAAGGCCATGATGGGATGATCATGATATCCAGAGCTCTGCCCCTCATGATCTTTACCAGGACTGACTCACAAGGAGTCAGAAATGAGTAGACCAAATCCTACGTCCACAACAGGAGGAAGGAATCAGAAAGGCAGGACTTTTCCAAATCCCAGATGGAGCAACACTGACGCCATTTTCTGTTTTGCCAGGTGACAAACAGATTGAGATAAGGAGATTGCAACCTCTGGAAGAGCATGTAGGTCACCTCTGGGTGGAGCAACAACACAATGATAAAAGAAGTCTCTGCTGAGGTGATCCACCTGGACATTCCTGATACCAGGGAGGTGGCAAGGCTCTAGATGAATGGTGTGGCCACTGCACAAATCCCAGAGGTAGAAGGCCACCAAGTGCACTGCCCTGTTGATGTAAAACATCCATGCCATATTGCCCATAAAGACACTTGCCCCCTTGACAGACAGCTGAGGTAAGATGACTCCACATAGCAATGGGACTGCCCCAAGGTCTTTGGCATTCATGTGTAACATCACCTCTTCCAGCCATCACATCCCTCGGGTCTGGAAAGCCCCAAGTACACACCCCAGCTAAGGTCTGCCTGGAGTGTCCAACACCAACTCAACAGAGGGAGCAGGGTTGTTGAATTGGACTCCTATGACATTTTTACTCCTGGTCCTCTTACAAGGGAAAACTGAAAGAACTGGGTTGGTTTAGTCTAAAAAAACAGAAGACTAAGAGGGGAATATGATCATAGTTCCTGGTAAGATGCACACCTACACGGCTGTGCACAAAAAATTCTTCCCCTGCACACCTCTGGAAAGCAAGCAGAAGCTCCAGCAGGTAGGGCTGACTGCAATGGTGTGGTGAAGGAGCTGCTGGGGTGGAGAGGGCGGAGCCTGTTCTCACAGCTAGGAACAGGACATGCCACATGGCTGGTGAGTGGGAAAGGGCGGGGTCTGCTCTGGCAGTTGCAAATGAGAAATGCTGCATGGTGGGAGAGAGCAAGCGAGCGAGCGAAAATAAATTGGATGCCACAGCGGCACACATCCAAACGAGTGCACATGACCTCAATATTGGTGCACAAGTCAAAATTTACTCCTCTCATGGTTGCAAAGTCTTAAAGGGAACACTGAACATGGTAACAGTTTTCAAGTAGCTAAGAGGTTGTTACAAGGAGGAGGGAGAAAAATTGTTCTCAGTAGCCTCTGATGATAGGACAAGAAGCAATGGGCTTGAATTGTAGCAAAGGATGTTTAAAGTGGACATTAGAAAAAATTTCCCCATCAGGGTGATTAACCACTGGAATAAACCACATAGAGAGGTTGTAGAATATCCGTCAGATTTTCAATAGCTGGTTACACAAACACTTGCCAAGGATGAACTAAGTAGTGCGTGGTCCTTCCATGAGTGCAGAAGATGGAAGTTGATGACCAGTCATTGTATCTTGGTCCCACCCCTTCCGTTTGATGCCCCGCCGTTTCTGCTTGATGGCCCAGCGCTTCCTGTTCAGACCAGGGCCACTTCAAAAATTTCCAAAGTGGTCCCTGGCAAAAAATTATTGCCCACCTCTAGTCTAAAGCGTGTCAGCTCTTCACTGGCAAAACTTTTCCCTAAGATGGAGAACAATGCAACTGAGATGTGGACCTGCTCAGAGATCCCAAAATGGGTTTTCTCCTAGACCAGGGAATCACTAAAGCCGGTGTAGGCAATACTGGTAGCACCAGGATAGCCTACAGTGCCTGTAAGACTTCTGGTGTCAAATGGACATCTTATCTGTTGAAGGCCCTCACTGCTGTCCAAAGTAACAGGTTTGGCTCAAGACAGGTTAGACTGATCAACTGGAGCTGGTGCTGAGTTCTCTTGACAGAGGAGTTGGGCTGATCAGCTGATTCCTTGCTCT